ACGCTCGGCCACCGCTGATAGTCCCTCCTACCGCTCCGAAAGTTTTGAGCTGCACAAAATATTGCGAGCGGCGAGGAGCGGGCACTCTCGCGTCACCGCTAAGCCAACGCTCGTTAAACCAACGCTAAAGCAACGCCGGCTTCAGTGGTGAACCTCTAAGGCAACGCCCGTGTTTTCGATTTTTTTCCCATTTTGTGCGCGGTGACGAGCGTTGTCTAAATTCCGCCCCTCTCCCAACCGTTGACGGAACGTTCCAACAAAGTTCGGGTGGTGTGACCGGGCCTTTATATATGTTCCATATGCAACGCAACGCAATATGTGTGTAAACGAGTATGTTGAAATCGTTAACGTTGAAAGTAAAAAACTTACATGCGAAGGTGCAGATCTCGTGACATTCTGTTCATGCCTAGCAAATTGGTACAAAACAGCGTGGCATCCCAACCATAGATCACCTGTCTTTTTATCAACCTCTATATTGTCAACACCCGAGTATACGTTAATTCTCTAAAATAATAATTATAATAAATGTAAAATGTCATGATAGTTTCATCTGTGAACCAGGGTACGCAATCGACTCAATGCATCTCTGAACTTGGGATACGTAAATCACACATATCTGCAATAACTGTTTTGTCGCAGCGCTCACCTTTTTTTCTTCGAGTGAATTGTCTTTCATTATCTCGAAGACAAAAATAATGCCTTTGGTAATTGATGCAACATACAAGTATCTAATAAGAGACAGGAGAACCATTGAGTTAATGTATGAATAATTTCCTATACTGCGAGGAGACTTTTTAGCTAGAAAGTTATTTTAGCTAATTTTAGTGATATCGCCAATTCAAGATGTAGTTAATTTAAAAATAAGAATATATGAGAATATGTTATTTCATGCTTTGAGTCATATTCGCCAAAATTACATGAAGCTATCTATATATTACATTACATATACATCATGTATAGGCAAATACGCTGTCTAATTAGCATAGACAAATTATTTCCGTATTAATGCCTATATACGAACACGTGTGAATATTAATCGAGTTACCTTCCGTCAGGTGATACGTTGATTCCATTGGCGTAATGAAATCCGGACTTGACAATCATATCTGTCTTTCCATCATAGAATCCAACGTTTGCCCACGCCAAATCTGCGAAAACTTCGACTTGTCTAAGAAATTCGGACGCGACAAAATATTTGTCATTTGTAAAATAAAACGAATCGGGTCCAACAGCCACAACGTCATTGACACTAAAATAAATTAGAAAAAAAATAACAGAAGACAAAATCTAAGTTATACAACAGCGCATTGTTATTGATTAAGGCAGGAATACGAAAAACGCTTCACTTTTTACCCAGATAATTGTACTTACATGAGCATGTATTAACATTCAGCGAATCTAATGTAGAAAATAAAATAAACAAATTTCTATTCACGTTGATGGAGTTTGTGTACAACTTTTTAATCATGTGATGTGTTATTGGTTTTACCGATATATGTTGTCTCCTCTTACGGTTTTCAAATGAAGCAAAGATTTGGTCTTCTCCTCAAACCGAAATACTTCAATACTTTCATCGCCACTGGCACGGTGATTAACAACAAACAGTCTTTTTTCATCTGATAATAAGTATAGAAAAATAATGGCGATTTATGTCATACAGCATGTTTCCTTGATGCCATGTACAGTTACGATGATCGGATTGACTGAACAACGAGTGTTAGTACATATACCCACACGCAACAAACAGAGAATTTGTTATTGTGCATTTGGCAGAATGACACACAGTTTTCATATAGTATCGGTGAGCCATTAAATATCGACAGGGCATCGACCAATAAGCCTATACAGAGGTCCTAGACGTTTGACTTCAACTTTGTTTGAGACCAGGGCTTCGGATTGGCGATGGAATATTATATAGACAAATTGCATATAATAAAAAGATATAATTATACATTAAGAAGATCGAGATGAACTTAAATTATTCGGGACGTTTTACAGAGTTACAGTAGGAATAGATTTGAATTCAAAAATGGCGCATTACAATACAACTAGCAGCGATAACAATAGCATTTGTTTTATCTTGAAAACTATGTATGCCACGAACATCTTCTTGCATAATAAAAATAGGATCTCTTCACCAAAAGCAAACAATGGCCAAAGCACGATATGTGACGGAAATGAAATCTCTTTACAAAACGCAGGCGATCGTTTTGTGACCTTCATTTGAAAAAAGGAGTTGTTGAAATGTATAAAATTAAGCGCTATATTACCTGTTTTAGGATCTTCGTATAAACTAATGCCATGCGGATAAAAGCGGTCTCTATCGATATCACCTTTCATGGGAAGTTCTATAACGTTATTCTCAGGATGGTTGAAATCAAAGAGGAATATCTTTCCCCTGATATTTGGGGGCTTGCGAGTCGGGTCAACAGCAACGTCTGTTCTGCCGTTTAGTTCCTTTGGAAATAACAGACGTGTTCACAAATTTGGCAAATACTGAACCAAAAATAATAAATTTGGACGAATGTGGATTGCTACCATTTAAATAGAGAATCCGATTAATGGACCTTTACGATTTAGTTTTATTGTATGATGTTATTCATAAAACGCAGGTAAAACATACACAGACAAAACATTGTAATGGAAATCGTGATTATTGAGCCATTAACCATTGATTTATATGGTGACAAGTTTTCATTATATCCCACGTATCATAATGATTATTATTATATATCTGTCACCATAACGCCATAAGTTACAGCGTGCCATAATTTTGCGGTATTTTACAGGGTAATTTCATCCAACCATATTACCATACATTTCAAATGTGGAGTGATTACGCGCGTAAGCGTCACGGTCCTCTAATAATAAAACGGCTGCCACCAGAGTTTGACCGGACTAAGTACAAAGAAGTTTCTGCTTTAACATTTTGGGCATTCTTATGTTGTATCATTGTAAGGTAAAGATGTATAATAATAAGGTTCAACTACGAGCATACCTCAAAGTATGCACTCAGACAGTACGTCGCGCATCGACCCACGCTGCGCGTCCGTGATACTCCAGCTATACTGTCTTCGTGCATGCTTTGAGGTATCCTCGTAATAACCTCATATTAAAACAGTAAAACAATATTTGAGATACGGATTTCACTAATTATTAGTTATTTCTGATACATACTATTAATAATAATAGTTTACATGGAGTATTTAATCAGTAATTATGTACCAATTTTGAAACACATTAAATATTGTGATATATTTTCGTTCCTATCGACCACGTAAAATACCAAATAAAACCAAATGTAATTGCTTTAATATACGTCTATAATTAGTTGCACTGCATAAAATAATTCACATTCATATAAAAAATTATGTAAAATATATAAAACTGATCTTGTCTCTATAAATGTATACTTTTTACTCACCGACGAAATAAACGCCAGACCATTGTTAGAAACTGTCACATCTTCGGAACCCTTCTCTGTAAATAAATCGAATGCTATTTTACTCATTTAATTATGTCATATACCAAAACAATAGTTAAGTAATTAGTAAGATATCCGTGACCTACCCGAATATTACTGAGCATGCGCGATTCACTGATAGACGATCAGGCAATTAACTTATCACGCAATTACATTTCAAAATCACATTTCTGCACAACCATTAAATGCCTCCTTTCGAATTTATAAGACGGTGCTATTTCGCACTAAGGTCAGTTGTATTAAAGTGCCTGTGCAATGCCCACCCTCACGTTTCCCATTTTAGATCTGTATCCCACTGAAATGGGCAGTTATTGATTTTTTTGCTGAAAATGATTACTCGTATCCAAGTAAATTTGGGATATTTCTCGTGTTGTAGCCACGCCCACCTATTCTGAAACGGTCGACTGTTTCCGGATTTCCGACTCTCGCCGAAAGTGCGCCACCAAATGCCAAAATGTGAGAGGAAGTCATACCCCTGAGCCGTAAGAACACTGGTCATTCAGTATACTTTTAAACGATATACATTTTTCAGTCGGCGTTTTTTTTCTTTCTTTTTTTTGTCTATTTTTTTTTTTGAGAGAGAGTTTTTAGATGTTGTGTTGTGGGCAGTTGCAATGAAACGTATAGTCATAGTGTAAGTATTCACACGTTTCTAATCAATCCGAAGGTGCGACATCAGTGGACGAAAGCCACTTAACCTCAGATTCATTTTTTGGAAAAACTGTCCTCGTCCATGAAAAAAACAACTAGGTTTAAAGAGAAACGCCGACAACATAAACCTGGCGCAACACTTTTGAAAGAAATAGATTCCGGACCATGATCACCGAGGCGGATTTCAGAAGAGAGAGAGACGTCCGGCAAGTGTTTCAAATGAGTTGACTTTTTTGC